TATATGATATTATACCATAGATAATTACAATTGTTTTAAATTTTTAATAAATGCAGAAATAACACGTCTAATTATAATTGTATGAACTGTCGATTATAAAATTATTACATTGTGCGATGTAATATGTTTCATTTTTTTCGTTTTCCCCACGCTTGTTTTATCATTGTTCCCCATTTTAGAAACCTTAGCAGTAACGCGATATCTTAATACCGCAGATATACGTCCTCCGTTCACGGTTTCAGCGAAGCGAGTCTAGATCGGAAGACTAGTTGGTTGAACCTCGGATCTCCAGTAGTAAAATACGCGGCTTAATTGCTTAATTTCTCACAGCTAAATCCGCGCCCTGCTCGCCTCGCGCCGCTACCGTCCCCAATGCTAAAGAACAAAGGCATGCATCCGTTACTTCGGCCTTCTTACTTTTACACCCTATCAACATTACTTCTCGCGTGACACTTTAATTATGCCATGCCGCCGCGAAAATCGGACAGAAAGCATCAGGTATGCGTCACGATAAAGGAGAGCCTTTTTCATCGGGTGATTCAATTTTAATTATTAAACCGCAAAGTTATCACTACGACTGCCCCAATGTGTGACCGAAGTGGCTCGACAAATTGCGAATGTTGCAAAAAGCAAAAATGACTCGTCTCTTATTTATTGTCCCATAAGAATCTTTTAATACGATCACGAAATCACAAAAACATATAAAAGTTTTATATCTCATTTAAATTTTATGTATATTTATTTTTCTTTTGTAGATACAATATAAGTATATGTTTTTATTTGGTTAGATATTTACGAATAAAATATGTTTATTTCACGCAAAATCGGAAAAAGTTGTGGTAGGTCATTGCATTCTTTAAAAAAATATTTAATTTATTCAAGGTATGCTAGATAAATCAATAAATCGCGGATTACAAAGTTTATTAAACCATAACACGAATAATGTTTATATTTAGATCATCGCGATAGCATAAATAACTTATAACATAATTTAACACGATGTTGTTTTTATGCAAAATCATAAATAACTAAAAATTTATAAATGAAATAATATATTTTGCAGAGTAACGAAGAACAAAACATCAAAATATATTCATATATTATATTTTGTAGAAGATTTTGTAAAAATAATGGCACTTCTTAATGCCGAAAAATAATACGTCTTAAAGATATCGACAGCGTTAAAACGTCATAGAAATAATATATTTTATTTATTATACCTATTTAATCAATTATTATTTTAACAAGCATCACATTTTTTAATTGTAACGAAAAATAATATATTTCTAATAAATTAATATGACGCTTTCTGCGCGTTACAAAATCGTATTAACCGATCTCTTAATGATGATGGAAATAACGTAACTCTATTAGTCGTAAACGCCGCGCAATCCTAGATTTACATCGCTTATAAACGGTCGCAGTTGCACTGTTCTGCCAATCTGAGCAATCTGTCACATCGGTATTAAGCAATTAAATAAGAAATTTTACGATTACTTGACGATAATAATTGCCATAATTGGAAATGATGTTATGTCGCTGTGTGTTTAGTAGCCTATTATAGGCACCGCTATAATAAAAGCCTCCCGTATAAATTTTGTACATAATGTCCTCGTCATTGGAGGATCACTATAAACTTTAGCTCCGATTCGTAGGTAATCCCAACAGGAACTCTTACGTGTTAAATTAGTTAATAATTTACGTATATCGAAAGCGATTGGACTGCATTCCATGTACTGTGCAGTCTATCGTAATTAGAAACGCATCGACACCGCTTCTTTATACGATAATAAAATTATCGTAAAACCTTCACGTTAAAAATATCCTTCTCTTAAATTGCTTTTCTTGAGCCAGTAATTTTGGATTAATACCAGTTTAAGCGACAGATTATAAATTCGTCTTCCTCGATGATCGAATAATTTAGTAATCGAGGTGTAATATATTCTATATTATAAGATAAAAAGTTAAATTAATTTTCAGACTAAACATGCTGTTATCTATACGTATACCTTTAAAATGATACAAGCTTTGAAAATATTAGCATCATTATATAAATCAATTTGCAACGCACCGTATTATATATGAATTAAAATTATCACAATTATCTTCTTTAGCGCTATTAATGCTACTCGCACTTTGTAATTGTTGTTCACAAGATGTAATATTTTAAACTGTACTAAGCACTCATATATTCTTTTCTTCTTATCGATTGAAATAGCGTAGCAAAGTTCATATGTATATATAGTTAACAAATAATCATTGTATAAATTGTGAAAATATACTGTCAGGATTCTGTCGTCAAACATAATGACACTGAACAAGTATCGTGGTATAGCAATAGATATAAGATAAAGATAACTAATCAAATTAATATTTTTCTTATCCGTTCGCATACGTAGTTCACCCGCCGCGATATACGTATTTGCATAGCACTTCACATTCCGCGCGTATGTACTATTAATTTCCCTTTCGAAGCTATCAAGACCGCCGCGGCAATTCTAAATCAATATCGGATTCTTTTCACAGATCCGCGAACGAAAAGTTAATTTTTCAGCGCGTTTTCGAAGCAAATGGCGCGGATGAATAAACGACTCGGTAATGATTTAAATCTAGTAGCGCGTGGTCCTTTTCGTTAATCTTCCTCAAACTATCGGCTAAAAGACTTCACCTCCGGCAAACAGTTAAGTTTCCTTATATATTCCCACAATTCAGTGCGGGTAAGCCGTTTTTCTCTCACGTGATTTCTTCCGATTTACGTAGAGCTACGCGTATAGACAAACGTCTTGGCGGATAAATTAAATGTGGACGATTTTATACTGTGGAATAACTCGCGGCGGCTTGTAAAGATCGCATACAAGAAATTCAGTAAATTTGCACGAAAATCATTTCTTCCTCGTAGCTTAATAGTTCCGACGACTGTCACACTTCAGCGAAATGGCTCCAGCGCCGAGTGTAGTTTGATTAACGTTTACTACATTACGAAATTGGAGTAAAAGTAAGTTTTATGCGTTTCCTTTTGACTGCAATTTAAGTTCGTACCGTTACTTCATACGCGATTAAGTGTCTGCCTTTTCACGCACAGTTCGCCTCGTCTCATTTTATAATTGAATTCTATCAAAATCGTCACTTTCGATTGTGGTTAATATTATGATCACTTGACAATCATTAAACGACAGTAACATTGAACGTTGCGATTAATGTATAAGTAGGCAAGACTATTGAATGAACCATTAAAATTTAAAAGAAAAGGAAGTTTTGATACAATTATATAATCATGAGAAAGAATCATAACAGATAAAGTAGAAAACATAAGAAAAATGAATTGTAATGCGGAAGATTTTCATGATTTTTGTTTTCCTGCGATGTTTCCATCAAGTTTTATTCAAGATACTTTTCCACCAATGTCTTTTCTCTCGTTAACACTTTAAAAAGTAATTATCTCGTTCGTTCCAGCGCATTCTCCAGCATTCAACGATATTAAATCCCCATTACATCGCGCTTTGCTTTCCGCTCAGTTTTTAGGAAATTCCTCGAATGGTTAATAATTCGCATCGATACGGAGCATTTATCTAGGTCCTTTGTTGATCGTATCTGCTTCGTTAGTTCTGTGGTCCCCGCCCATCCACTCTCTATATAATACGATCGAAATTCCTCCATATCTCGCTTCGGCTTGTCGAAGATGTACGCACGAGGCGTGTAGGTACGTGACACGGTTCGCCATTCTTTTCATCGGATATTCGTAATTTCACCTTGTTAAGTCGCTACAAAAGGCGTTCTAATCCTATCCGTCGATCCGTTTTGCCCCGGATAAAAGGACGGAAATCGCGGTGAATCACTGGATCCGACATACCGATCTTTCGTCGTGGACGAAGTTCGCTCCGGTAGTTTTTCTCACGTCGCGCATCGCGCCGCGTTGCGCCGCGCCGTGCCGCTGCCTTGAAAGGATCGACAGACAAGGCGCGGTCATCGAACGGGGATCACCCTCTCGGCATCGCGAACGTACATCCTCGGCTACAATCATGAAATCGAACGACACGGAAGAAGTTTCTCCTCTCTATATCCATTTTCTTTCCCAATCCCAATCCCTGAGACGTGGCTTTATGGAATCTCCTTAAGCGAGGCGCGCCTCCCGAGGAGGACTCGGGGACTCTATAACCATTTTCCGCCGAACTTCGATCCTTGCAACCCGTGATCCGGGCGTGTTTGGAGAAAGGATTGAGTTTGCGCTTGCTTTGTTTAAAATACTGAGAAACTTGTTCTGAATCAACCTTCTTTGACCCGCCTTCCGATTTCGGTCGCGAGAGACGCGAACCGAGTCGTGCACCTCCCGAAGGTGCTTCCTACCGAAACCGCGTATTTACGAGATACATTTGAACTGTTCAATTTTGGAACTACGTGTATTCGCTTTTCCTCCATTCGCGAGAGCGGAGTAAAGCGCAATTGTTGAGAAAACGTGCGTATTTTACGGCAATTCAAGTTTTTTGTTACGTTTGATCGCGGAGAGACTGCGAGACCATCGGTTCCCACATAAAATCCCGCTTCCCATTTGTCGCGCACAAAATTGCTTTTTGTATTTTTTTTTTCCACGCTTGAAACGAGATTCAACCTCCATATTGAAATTATCGGTCCTATTTCTTTTTCCCCTGGATTTGGTCCCATTTCTTTTTTTAATGGATACGATTTATACCAGCATATATTATCGATCGTTAAATTCCTATTCACGTCTTTCACATTGTTTTTACATAGCTGATACATACGCTTATATTTATGATCGACCGAACGTGCATTCGCACGGTGATTTTATCGAGTTACGAGAAAATTTCTTTCGGTATCATATCAAACAGCATTCTTTATCTGTTATTTCCGGGACGTGCTCGTATAGAACGACTCTGTGCGAGCCTAGGATTGAGCCTGGGATTAAAAGACAGCTCCGGTTAGAAGTAAGCCAGCGGCTAAAATCCACCGTATCCGCACTGTTATAACGCGGCTCTATTTCTTACCGGTGACGGCGATGAGGAGGACGCAAAGAAGCGACGCGGAACGGGTGGAACGCGCGTCTCGGTATCTCGCGGCACTTCGCATGATGCTTCGGATATGCTCTCGTCTCGCGATTTACGCACTCATATACACGCGCGCGCTCATTCACCCGATCACAGATCCGCCTTCATATTAACACTTTCGAGCTCCAGTGAGATCCATGGGCGAGAGACGATCCATTGATTCAGAGACACTGCACTATATATATATATATATATATATTCCTCGATATATTGTTCTTTTCTTTTTTTTATATATATAATCGTTCGCGTTAAACTTTAGATAACGATTGATCACGGTAATTCGAAAACGGAATAAAAGAAAAAATATGGACACGGAATTGGAAGATCGAGGGGTCGCGTAGGTCGCGCGAGCCCACTTCGCGATCTCTCGTCGTCGACGGCGCGTATAAGGACACGACGACGTAACGACGTGGAAGGTTTTCCAGTCGACGTACGAGCGGCTACTGAAGCTCCCGCCGCAAGCACGGCGAGCTTCCAGTGCGTCGACTCCGTCGTGCACCCGAAAGCTCCATTCTCCGGCTCGCTCCCGCATTCGGGGCCCCACGGCATTCTTCCTCTCTCGTTCGCGGTCCTCTCTCCCCCAAGCCCTTCGTAGCCCGTCGATGCCTCCCTGTCGCGCACCCTGGCCCACCGTCTCTCTCCATCTTCGTCTCCCATCCTCTCTCGCGCCCTCGGCCCCGTCCTTTCCCTTCCTCCGCCGCCTCTCTCTCCCACACAGCCATTTTAGCGTCGTCGTCGCGATCAGGCGCGCCAGTGCGGGCTGCGCGCGCGAGGGAGCTTTCGCTCGTCCTAAAGCTGAACGGACGGAGAGGAAGGCCGCGAGAGAAGGGGGTGATTGATTGGCGCTGAAACTTCGCGACTGATTGAATCTTTTTTACGTTTCAATATCGATATCCCGGGCCGGGATGGCGGGAGAGCGGCGCGTCGGAAGCGAAAGAAGAAGGCTCCGTAGAGTAGACATCTTATATACGTATACGCGCGCCGTAGTAACGCGAGTTTTCATTCTCGCGAAGGTAAAGATTGCCGCGCCACCCTTCCGATCACCCGGATCTCCGGATGAGCTCGAACGTCGAGCCAGTCTCTTCGTATCGCGCGCGCAATTCGATGCGTGTGACGTGAAAGAGACGGCTGATCGCGATTATCGGACAGGAATTATCGAGAACGCGGGGAAATTTGATATAACGACTGCGACGTGACGCTAAGAAGTTGAACGCGAACGATTTGGAGAACTGCGCAGCAGTCACGATTCAGCGCTTGATGGATATTGATGACATTCTAGCAGGTTCCCCGCGGAACATGTAGAAACGGGCGGGCGCGCGTTTAAAAAAAAAACCTAGCGCGGTTAATTGAATTGTGAGCGATGCGCTAATTACCGCGACTGTTTGGCTGATATCCGCGCGGCCCAATATTCCTCCCGGTGATTTTGATCGATTATTCGCGCTCACATATCTATATATTCGTGCAAGAGGTCATTATAGATGTTAAGTCGAGCAGGATATGTATCGAGGAGCTGAATGTAACTTTCGTTATCAAATGGATTTCTAAGTATACGAATAAATAAAGCAGATGATTTGCAAGTATAAGCCCGATAAGATCGAATGGAAATTGCACGCTCTCGTTTACACGCCTTATCATTCGAGTTTAGCGGACTCATCCTCGGATCTCGAACGCCGCATAAAATGCGTTCACTTATATACGTTTAAGGGTAACCGAAAAAAAAGGAAAAGAAAAGAAAGAGCGCGGAGAATAGCCTCGGGGCACTTCGTTTCCATTTCAAATTGGCTCTTCGATTCGCAAGAAAGCTCAACGACCGCTTAATCTGGTTTGGAATAGATCCGATTCATTGGATATATAACGTTGCGCTAATTAAAACCGGACGAACGTACATCCCAGTTGGGACGCTGAACCCCGACGTATAATTCGTTCTACCGCGGCCGACGGGCAATTAACTGTAGCTTATTGATCAGGCATGAATGACGAGCCGTGGATAATCCGCCGGGTAGCGTGCGCAAGAAAGGCACGTGGTAAAAGGAAATCCGGGCAGAGAAACAAGATTCGTGCACACTTCGACACTTCGTGCGTTCGCCGCGCGGCGCAAAGTGCTCTGGCACGTGCAAAAAGCAGCCGGCAACCAGCCCGCTCGTATGTAATTAAAAATGTATCCGTCGGGAAAAATCCGTCGGGCCGGCCGATCCGTTGTTCTGGTTTCACTCGACAGGCATATCTCCGCATAAATGACGAGTGCTGAGGGACGCGATCGCCAGTCATCAATATCTACCGGACATCGGATACTGTTACGATCATTAACACATTGTTGACGACGCGATCGCCTGCCAGTCAGCGTTATACATTTTCAGTTCTATATAAACTGACACGTGCTAGACTGCGGATCAAGTTTTTTTTTAATATTTTTCGCGTGCGTGAACACGCCTCTCTCAGCAAATTCGAAATATCCACTTGAGGGAAGTACATGAGAGGCTTGAAAAAAGCACGTATGTGTATTCATATAATTTTAATAATCTATGCTAGATACATGATGACTTGCATCTATTGATACTATTGATATTACACATTGCATTCTATTTTATTGTTCTTGACATCGATGAGCTGCGAAAAAAATCAGTCGATGTTCATGCGTGTAATTTTTTATACTTCATATTATATGCAAACACGCAAACACATATTTTACATGTTGTATTTGTTGTATTGTAAAATTTTTATAAATATCGCTTCATTCAAAAAACATTTAATAGAATATTTAATAATTAAAATGTCTATAGTTATAATATTCAAGTTTAATTAAAGGAAAATGACAACTGGTAATTTAAGATCTTTTACAAGTCGAGTATAGAAATATGTGTGTTCAGTTTATAATTGTTATTTTGTAATTTGCGCAGAATAATATTTTTAATTTTATAGTCTGTGTCTGCGATAAATGAACCTCGTGATCGAGTATCTCTATTCAGGGAAGCATTCATTATTCAAAATTTCTTACACGCCTTTAAACTTTTTTCTCGCTTCAGGTACTGAATAAGTTGAGTCTTATAATGTGACAAGTAGAAAAATAGAATATGATAATGATCATGATTTTCCTGGATAATGAGGGATTCTAACATCAACGGTAGCCCGTTTTCCTCCTCCCCTTTAAGCTCGCGAACGGGTCGATATAAATTACCTCGGATAGTCTAATAAGAAATCTGCCGATCATGATTCTCAGCTCAGAAACATCTGGGTATCACGCACAGTTACATTAATTAAGGATGAATGAGTAGACTCCAGGTAAATAACCGATCTCCATTGAAAGTACGGTACAGTGATTGACGGCATGCCTCGAAAATTATTGGCGAAGCCTCGTTCCGCTTCATTTCCGTCGCTTCCCGACACATTAGCGTCCTAATTGGACACTCCTCTGCGATTTTTTGAGTTACACGTTATCAACAGTTTTTTATTATATCGAAAGTAATTTTCTACTTTATAATAACCTTTTCAATAATTCGTTTTTCAACTTTTCGCCAACGCGGATTAAAAAATACTATAATTTCGGCATCTACAAAATTAAAATTCTTTTACGTAATTCGAATTCACGTATCGCGTTACAATCTGCGGCTTTCGCACAAGCACAACGTAGCCGCAATTTCAATTTTTAACTGAACCTCGCGCTCGACGGATCGCGGCGAATCAAAGCGTTAAACACACACGGGTTTGGTAAAGTATACAGAAACGTTTTTAGCATGTGAGAAAGACGTTTCTCACATCGGAGGTTAAATATTCCGCTTAAACTTTGTACCTGGCTTGGGCGACCGGCATTTCCGTAAAGGTTTTCCACCTCCGGTGATATGCCGCGGATCTATTCGCGTATAGCGGAGAGGAAGGATTTGAATCTCACGGAAGTCAAGGCGCGAGTTAATTTGTCACTCTCCCTGGCTCTCTCGTACACACAATTTCCTTTCCTCCGGGGGCCCTATACGAACATCTTCCTCATTATCTTCGGAATAAACGACCGTTAACAGGGACATTTGACGTCGGTTAGGCCTAAGAGTGAGGCGAACGTACGCGGGATTGTAATCGTAGAAACGGTACTTCTCCTCATAGGTATCAGAGAAACGAGGAAGCGAAACACGATACTTAAATAAATGCATTACAAAGGTGTTGATTTTAGAAAGTAACATTTTGCGCGCGCGGATAATTATTTCCGGGAACGATGTAGGAGGATAATTTCCAACTTCTCCGTTTTCGTTCGACGAACGAAAATCCGCGTCCGTTAATTCGCGCTAAAAGAGATCTCTCAATATAACGTATCGATGTAAGCTCGATTCACTAACTTTCACGATGTAATTCGATGCATTAATTATTCGGAAATGATCCTCTTCCCCGGGTAAATAGACGACATTGTTCCCGATATCCGGGACCCGGCAAACTTTCTAATCCGCAAAAATGGACGAGACTGTTCCATCAATGTCGCGTAACGCGCGGATTCGCGGCGCGGTTTTGCCAGGAGGGATCCACCGGTAATAAAAACGTATCGAGACCGTGTACGCGCGCGTTTCGTAGAACGTAAAACGATGTACGCGCGTGCAACAGTACGGGTGGGTATAGGAGCAGGGTGTAGAAAAATTTTCGATGGTCCCAGATGCAGCCGGCCGATCGAACTTTAACGTCGTTTGCAAGCGGCTTTCTCTCGGACGGTCGACCGGGCTGCCGCGCGCGTTCTCACGTTCCATTGCAAAACTGTCGAAACTGTCGAATCGCGGACAAAGGGTGTATAATACGAAAGTTACAAACAGAGGTGGAGGACAGTGAGGGGGAGAGGGAGAGGGAGAGAGAGAGGGCGAGAAAAGAGATAGACGTGTCGGCGCGAGCATGAGCATGCGAGCCGCGCGATATGAGTACCGATGCAAGTTCTTGGAGCGTATAATATTCCACGTGCGAGTTGTCACTTCGTGACCGCATTTCAGTGACTAATGAGCGCTTTCGAAAGCACGTTAGGTACTGTCAGATACACGGCTGCTGTGCAATGCTGTGGCGAGCTTCTGTGAGGGGGATCGTGATATACATACGCGTACATACGTACGTGAATGAGTATACGTGTACGTGCACTCCGGCTGTTATACATGCACCTATCGAAGAGACGAGCTAGAAGCGAAAACCGGGATTAGGGTGTGGTGAACGAGCCACTTGTCTTGAATAAAAAGTATAACGCGAAAAATAGGATTGAAATGGCACGGTCGATTTAGAACTATCGGCAAATTTGCGCGGCTGTTAAATATTGACATACTTTAAATCAAGCGTACTTATAGTAGTTAAATTCCTGCGACATTTTGAAATATATCTACGTTAATTTTTTATTATTGTACATGCAACGTTCGTCATTGTTTCTGTATAAATAATATAACGTATGCTTACTACTTTTATTACCTACTTACCATAAATAATATATTTTGTTGTTATCGAGAAATTGACTCAAAAGTTGCTGAAATGCACGGGATAAGTAGGATTAAAAGGATTAATTTAGGATTAATCAGGATTTATTGGAATAATTGGTATTTATAGAAAACGAGCCATATTTTTACAAAATACAAGAGGGGAACGTTTAATATATATTTACATATGTGCATGAACAATGTATATAGCATATTTCGGCTAATTGTTGTTACTGTATACAGAAGAAATACAGAGTACAGTGTGTAGATTTAATAGTCGAAAATGAGGTGTAAGTGCACAGTATTAAAATCATATACAATACTTTGGACGCAATTGGTTGTTCGCTCGAAACGCGAGCTGATAGTTATTATTGCAATGACGAAGAGGCATGATCATTGGTTTGCATTTATCAGATGAAATGCAATGAAATGATTGTAAAATATGAAAAAATGTTATCCACTCATTACACTCATGTCTGTACGATCCAACGAAAATTTCATGTAAAAGTTGCTAGCATTCTTGAAAGCTTTTTTTTGTTCCAACAATTGTATTTTTTAGTTTAGTAAACTATAAATAACATAGATACTTGAATTTTAATATTATAATAATATATATATTCTTTATTAGAATTATGTATAAAAATGTTCGGCTAGTTTCCAAAGACCCAGTGTATAATTCACATTTACAAAAATATAATGTATAATCTTAAGGTTAAATAAATTATATTCGAATATAATTGATTTAACTTGAGATAACTTGAAATTCAATAGCGAAACTTCTCAAATGTGTAAACACTTCATTACTTGAAATTTTACCTAACTTTGTTCATACAAATCAAAATATAATAGCTATATGGAATTGTAGAGGTAACAGTTTTGTGATTTTTCTTGTTAAACAAAAATTTTGACAAGAAATAATGGTCCTTTGGAACAAGATTACCTGAAGTAATTTCTATTTTTACTTTAAAAATGTTGCCGAAAGACAAAAACGTTCGATATTAAGAAATGAAACTTTTGGTTAATATAATGCAAATCAATGACCAATTCTTCGTACGACAATTGGAAGCCAATCGGTTTTACAAATTGCAAATAAAAAAGTATTGTGATAATTTGTTATATGATTTAATTATACATGGTACATAAAAGCGCAAAGAATTATTTAATTATTTAACTACTTATAATGTGTGTGATACACAGAACAGTATACATAAAATTTAAATTCAAGCCGCTGCTTTTCAGATATCACTTACGCAAATACATTTATAATAAATATCAAACAGTGATCGAAGAGCTCCGTAAAAAAATTAAGTTATAAAAAAGCATTTGCAGGTGATAAAAATCTGTGTGATAATTATTTAATTAATATAAAACTGAATACGAGCATTAATAAATCCGTTATTTCTGAGTATATAATGTATACAACAAAGATTAGTATAATATGACAAATTATAATTATCAAAATCACTAAAAACAGTTAGGTAACTATTGTAATTATAATAAGCAAAAGTGTGACGTTGTAGAAATCTAGATTACACTCTCTATGAAATCTCTTCGATCAAATACTTATTTTCTCTAAGGCTTATTGTTAGTATCCAATGTGATTTACTTTACAAAAAAAAAAATTGCAAGTACACAATTTTAATTAGCCAATCGGTCTCATTCATTAATGAAAATAGCGATCAACTTCGATTAGCATATAATCTCTTAACATTAATTATACAAATCATGCTTAATTAATTAATATCAATATCAATATCGTTATTGTGCTTGTTTGCTTAATCCCTATATTCTGATTTCCATTCTATCAGACTTGTATTGAGACGTATGTCGTTTCCGTAATGCTGCGAGCCTAGCGACAAATCAAATTATAGTGCCACAAATTAAACTGAGATTGCTCCATCAGAATTAATCTTGCATTATAAATCGAATCTTTAGATTTATCTGATATCTAAAATAATTCTCAATATTCAAACAGAATGCTACGACGAAAATAAACTAATTACTTCTCTGTGCAAATATTCATTTCTAATAACAATGCACAGTTAATTCTGGGGAAATAATCTCATCCAAATCTAGCGTGTTTTCATTTGTATTTAGCACTATCTCTTTATCTCACCCTATATGCCGAAAAATATCATTTATCGCGATTCAAATGTTAACAACATTCGGTTCTTCTAAAAAATATATAATATACAATATATAATAATTGACTTTTTCTGGGGCAAAAAAAGGGAAACAATAAATTTGGTATACCTTGCGGATTAAATCCGTGCAAGCGTCAACCCGTGCAAACACTTTGCCATAGCACCATGGATGTCACGTATAGACTTTCAATTGCGAAAGTGACGAAATCTTCCCGTACAGACAATTGACACGCAATCCGTGTCCTTTATAGTTAGTGAAAAAAAAGCTTAAAGATATCTATAAGTGAGTATCGGAGAAACACCAGTTACTACGATAATTTCTTAAAACTTCTTTGGGGGGATAGACGGTGCGGCACGGCCGTAGCGCGCAGGGTTACTGTTCTAAATAGGGAATCTTTACAACCTGGGAGTAACAATAAGTGCAATTTTATGTACAATAGTCCCTAACCCACCGCCGCGGATTTGTTCAGTGCGAAATGTCTGCGCTTTACAACTTCGGAACAGCGTCCTTACAAGGCTTTACAACCCGCGCGGCCAAACCGACCGATGATTTTGATTATTATCCCGCCGGGTGCGCCCACCGGGTGATTTCTCGCGGGATTGCTGACGGGAATCGCGAGCAGCGCATGTCCGTTTTCATTTCCACGAGGGCCGCGAGAAAGACACGGCTGAAACGTGAAAACGGCACGAGAGAGCGCCTCACGCGTGAAACAGCAGTCGTCTGTCCCGGGATCACTCCTCCTGTCAAACGTGGTCGCCCCAAATTATCACCGTCTTGGCGCGATCGACGGACGCCAGATACGTGCCGTGCGGATGCCAAGACACGGCCGTTACCGCTGCCCTGCGCATATTTAAATATCAAACGATTAATAGTCATTGCTGAAGCATTCTTACCTTAAAATTCTTCCAACTTTTTAACGTAGCGAACAGTTATTGCTTTATTGTTATAGTTATCTCTATATTGAAATTCTATTGGAAAAAATCACAGTAATAAAATCATCATTTTTTTAAGTACGAATATCGACAAATCAAGAATTTTATCAAGTACATGCAGCAGTATACAGTATAGATTTATTATTTATACATACAGTAGTATAGTTAAACTGCACCGGTGATTTCTTAAATATTTTATTTTGATAAACGCTTGCTTTCAAATCGTAAAAATATAGATAGGTCAGAAAATGAAATGTATATAAAAAATAAACTGATATTAGGTACTTCGAAAACTTTGTTTGAAGAAGTAAAAAATTAAAACCGGGTGCTTAATATGAACGATATCGAATAGATGAGATAAATTGAAAGGAATTTGCCTATCAATATCGAATATTTCCCAAAGCGAAGGAGATCTTTTTTATTCAAACCAAATAAATTCGTTTTGATACTCTTTGAAAAATAAAATAGTTTCGAGATTTATGCGATGCAACCAAATTTATTTCATCATTTGTGTCACTCTTAACTCGTCCATTATTGTAAATATGTCACGATTATAATTATTTATTATATACCGCACAAATATGTACGTGAACTTGGTACACAGAAAATTGTAAATTTGATTAACATATACGATTGAGTGTTATTGACTTTCCGGTGCCTTGCCCGAAAATAGATGCAAAGAGGATAAAGGGGGAAAAGAAGAAATCGTAAGCCAATGGCCCGATTTGCTCGAGCGGATTTGCGAAACTGTGAATCGGCGCGTAGAGCAGCGAGCTTTAAACAGTTACATCCAAATGCTTTTAGAGCCAGCTTTTTCCATTTTCGCCTCCTAACTTTCGTCTGGTGAATCTAATTTCCTTACCGGGCGACCTGGAATTATTTTGCCGCCGCTGCCGCGCGTAAGGGTCTCTCAATTATTTCGCTATCTTTACGGAAACGCCTCGTACAGCGTAAAAGGGCAACCAGGGAAAACGCTCGGGAATGTTGTGCGTCGCACGTGCGACGGACTTTTGAACTTTATGCAATTTAATTCTTCGTCTTTTCTCCTCTGAAGAGCACCGTGGTAAGAGAAATAAAATGGAAAATGGCACGATCGCGGTAATAAACGGCAAATGGGTCAAATATAAATATGATTTGCGTGTTGCGGCTGGAGCCTTACGTAGGAAAACCTCGCGGCCGCTTTAAATCGTTTCATTAAAGATACCATTTGAACATGATGGAATACGGTGCCGCGTAATTTTCTGGTCCGAGCCGGCTGCGCTCGTGCGGCGAAAAGTCTATAAAACCTGAATTCCCGAGGGGTGATTCGCAGGGTCGAAATCGTAAAAGGGTATTTCTACGCCGAGGACAAACGTGTTGAAAATGGCATGCCTTCTGCTCCAGCAATACTGTTTGAGAAATCCTTTGCGAACGTATACAAATCAAGTGAATATTTCGCGAGTGGAGGCAAAGGCCAGGTACGAAGGCACCCTGGAGGAGAGGAATCCGCTATAAACCTATGATTACAGTTTTTACGAGCATTCGTGAGCGAAAAAGTCCAAATGCTCGCGAGTCTGTTAAAAGTGCAGCAGAAGTTGGAATACATTTTACATAATGTAATCAAGCGATAGTTGTTTTATATTACTTTAGCTTTATTACTTCTCTGAATTCTAGTGTTGCGATCTCTTTTTAAAGATATATTCCTCGTAGATTAAAAATTTCTCCGTAAAGCGAAATTCTAAGGCACTTAATTACAGCGTAATAAAACTATAATCGCGTCAAAGCTTCGCCCGCGTTTTTGCTTCATAAAAAGTAATTCGATAACTGCATTCAAAACGCAATAAATCTAGAGCAAACAATACGGTGAGTCGAGAGATCCTAGAGACTCGCTTTTGCTACATTTGCTTGTAATTCTACGAATAACAAAGCGCATTCAGTAGAACAGGCGGATAGATCGTAATCGAATTGAACGACCTGACATTCATTCGGCCGATGGCTCATATGAGATTGCCGATTGTCGCCGTTGTTTTCAATGACTCGACTCACATGTGAATTCTTTGTAGAGAAACCGACCGGCATCCATCAGTTCCTCATCGGCTAATCGATACGTTGATTATTCGTTACGGTGTAATGAAAGACAATCTGATATTCGATCGTCATTGTTTAATCAGTGCCGACGTAATGAGAGAGAATACGTGATAGTTCGTTGTCATTGTTCGGAGAGCCAGCCTGGAAATTAAACGTATCGTTTACCTAACTTTCCGGCCGTATACGGTTAATGAAGTTCTGTAATCTGTGTAGTGCGCGCTATATAAGTTCGTTATTCGATGAAATTTCACAACGAGATGAGCCTCCGGACAGGATAGTTGCATCTTATATTACGTTTTTGTTACTAACGCTAACGTAAATCCGATTCAAGCGTAGGGCTTCATTCACGTCCAGCGAAGGCAACTCGCAGATTGCATTCGGGAGTAGAAACGTGTCACTCGATGCAACGTGTTAAGCGGGCGAATATGTAGAAACACGGTTAAACCGTAAAAAGCGACGTATCGTTCTGTCACGGTTTGACTGGCGCGTTTATTCCCTCGCGGAGGGTTCGATGCCGTCAAACGGAGGAAGAGCCCGGGGCTTATACTTGCGGTGAGAAACAACAACCGCGAGGGGCAAGAAAAAGCGGTTGCCCCACGAGTGCGTCGCGACGACCGCCCGTCGAGTGCGCCGTCGTCGTCGCCGTCGTCGCCGGCGTCGTCGCTTAGCGGGAACGATATTTCTAAAAGCAGCGTGCTCCGTATCCGGGATACCTTTGCGGAGCAGCCGCTACCTTGGTGGTGTATATTGCGAGCGTGATAAAGGAGACCTATCCGTTCTTGCCGAAGGAGCTTGGAAATAAGCTTTCGCGAACGATGTTTCCACTCTCTTCCATGCGCCACTTTCGCGTCCGCCTCCTCGCATCTCCTCCCTCTCCCCCCCTTCCCCGCCATTCCATTCCGCCCACTCATTTTTTTCATCCAGCCGCAAAGCCAACGCGAGAGACAGATGGAAAAAGATCGGGAACGAGAGAGAAAGAGATTTTTATGAAAAAGGAGGAAGAGAGAGAGAGAGAGAGAGAGAGAGAGGGGGGGAACGTAGGAGTATATGAGAAAGTGGATGGGCTGCGTGAGATAGACGTGGCGAGAGATGGACGGAACGTTACGAGTCTTTGAAATGTACGCCGCGGGAGCATTTTTGTCCGTCGTTTCTTGCAAATGACAGAGTTAACATACAAACGCCGGTTAAAGCCTCATATTCCGTCGACGCGGGATAAAGGGAGGGAAAAGATTAGAAAGGATGGTAAAACGTTCCTGGGAAAAGGGAAGGAGAGACAGAGAGACAGGGGGAAGATAGAGTAATTGTGGATTTTAGATTTTAACCCGAGGCGATGGATTATGCGAAACGTAAGCGGATAGCTGAAACAGGAAGAGGAGAAAGGCCGAGGGAGGTGAAAAGGCGGAGGTATCATTTAACGAAAGGAAAGCAATACAGAACGCTGCTGCTCGCGCCACCACCGTAAAAGTGAAGCGCGCTCGTCTGTCGTCAGACAAACCGGGGGATAATTAAAATAATTTCGCCTCATTGTGAATGCATACCAGTTTGCAATAATTAGATCGCGGCGATTTACTGATAATGAAATTGGGATGAGATCCTCCCGCAGAATTCCGTGTTCAAGACCGCGCTTTGTTGTTACGTGCTGGAGGACAGAGAGCATGAATCACCAAACAATTATCGAGGGAAGGCATTGGCATTCGAGATCGCGCATCAACATCGATTCGATTAATTTTTTACACGGTGTTAATCGAATCGAAGACAATAAAAATAGTATTGATTCTGATATTTTATTAATTAAAGAGGATATTGTGCATTATATAAAGTAATATAATTATATCGCATTGTACATTGTACATTATATCACACTGTTATATTATAAAGGTAAAAAAAAGGCACCAAGTACAAGCAATGTATTTTGTAAATTCAAAAATCCAACCTAAGTGGTAGTAGTTTTAATTTCTCCTTAACAAAAAATTATTATATCACAAAATGATGTTACCTAACTCAACCCAAATGACATATATTTAAAAAAAAAGATATGAAATCTTTAAATTGCGGACATTGCAAAGAAAATACATATATTGCTTTGAAAAATAATTGTGCAACTACTTTAAAAAAATGAAATCTAAGTGGTACATATCTTTGTGTTCCCATTCAAAAGTCTTCCTATTCCATTATATATCACATACAATATATATTGTTTATCAAAATAAATTTAAGCGGTGCTATTATTAATTAAAGTGAAGATATTGTAAGCATCTCCAGAACCGATAGCAAATTTGAATATATACATAAGTGTCACAACTTGATAGGACGATATCATTAGATGACATATTCTTTATCACGTTTCTCGCGCATACTTCGCGTAATATATCTATGTAAAATGATGTGTGCCACCTGTTGACACACAGCGATGTACACTCGAAGCGATAAATTCCGTGTGGGAGCAATAAAATGGGGGATCTTAACGTACGTAACGCGGAATGTAATAATCAGACGCATGAGAACGGCTGAACGATGCGAGAGAGGCTCGAAGGGACTCGAGATTTTCATGCGGAGGGCTGCTGTTAGGAGGAAAAGGTATGAAACACGGGATGCAACGGGGAGTTCTGTGCTCGGCACATTAATCCATCACTTACGAACTCGTTCAAAAACTCAAGCCCACGAGATGACATAATTTTGTTTTGCAAATGAAAATGTAAGGGGCTTTGCGGGACACAGCGTTGTGGTAAAGCAAAAACGAATAATATGTAATTTTATAAAATCGCGCAGATAATTGAGACCGCGGCTGGGACAGCGGTCCGTAATCTAAAACCGTGTTTTGAAAAGTGCATATTGTAAAAA